TGGCATTCAAACACAGCTGGGCACGTGCACACACACACACACACACACACACACACACACACACACACACACACACACACACACACACACACACACACACACACACCCTCTTCAGTGCTGACACCCTGGGTCTTTCTCTTCTTTTCACACCCGGGGACTGAAAGACACTTCCTTCTCCACACTTCAGCCCAACAAAAGGACAGAACAGAACCAGTTACAGACGTTCACCCTGGTGTTGTGTAGAACTGTACAAACAGAATCTGGAGAATTAAAAAAAGCTCTTTTTTCAGCACATGACAAGTTTTGTTAGGCCTCTGATTAATATAAATATTTTTATAGTGTTTTATAAATCCCTGTAGTTTTATTGAACATATAGTCTCCTTAAAACCACTTTTTGTCATGTCAGTGTTTAGAAATGGAAGTAAAATGTCTGAATTTGTTGAATAAATTAATAAGAAAATGTTGTTGTCTGGTGTGATTTAATGCTGAATATGGTGAAATGATTCAAACTGAGAAAATAAAAGTTTATTTGAAACTTTGTCAGAAATTTGTGTTTCGGCGTTTTCATCGCCCATGTTGGACAGGGAGAACATGTTTTTGCCCTTGTCTGTGTGTGTTAGCAAAATATCCCACAAATCACTGAACAGATTTTAAATACACTGCAAAAATTAGCCATGAATTAAAAAAAAACAATATTTGGCTCATAAGACAATTACTTGTTACGACTTTGACAAGAAGAATTTCCAGGATAATGATTAATAATCTAACATTGTGTTCTGGCTAAATCTCAAAACAAGATGATAAATTGTTATTGGCTTGCCATACAATCATAAGACTTGGTCAGATGGATCTTTTTTAGCAGGGATGTTTGTCTACAAATAATTTACTTTTGGAGTCAAATGAATCAAAGACAGCTTCAGCAGCTAACCATCATTAACCAGCACAAAAAAATAACTTGTTTATATTTACAGAAACGTTTGATGTGATAAACACGCAAGTATTTTTTTTTGGGGGGGGGGGGGGGGGGTTAGTTTTTTATACAACACCATTCCACAAGTTCAACCAAAGTGCTGCACAATAAAGCAAATCAAAGGAAACTGGGTAGATTTAGTTTTGTAATCTAAAACGACCAGTGTTGTACTCCTTTCAAATTATTTTTTTAGTCTGGGGTGAGTCCCTGACTAAACCTCACACCCTTTATGGAGAACATGGACAAAAAGCTCAGATAAATCAAACAAACAAACGTTATCAGCCACACATTGCATCACATAAGATTTATATCACAAGGTATGATCATACATCATGTTATAACAAAAACATATTGTGTGAGATTAAAAAATAATCCTTGAGATTTTTATCCCAAACTGAAAGACACTCCCGTCAGATGCAGCTCCACTGGAGGAAGTCCTGCAGAGATCTGAGTCCTGGATCAGGTTTTTGAGGCTCCACCTCACTCCACCTGCCCTTTAAGGACTGGATGAAGAACTGCTCAGACAAACTCTTTTATTAACTTGTGCTCCAACAGATAGTTGGATTTAGTTAAAAGTAAATCCAACACTGCTTTTTTTTTAGTGTTTTGGAAAAACTAAAAAACCCGAGACTTTGTCTCTTTTTGTTAAAGTTGTGTGTTTTTTGTCTGCACACAGTTTGCTGTGTGTTGAACTTGTGTGTGCACGAGACAAACAGTATCTTGACTGTTGGTAGTAGATGAGGGTTGTCCTCAACGCTCAGTCCAAACATCTCACAAGATCTTTGCAACGTTGTGTGAAACGACGTGTAAGTTTGGACCGGAACAACTTGAACGTCATCATTTCTCGACACGAGATGTCAACGTGAAACTCTGGTGGCAGCTGACAAACGTTTCTGTTTTCTGCTTTCATTTATAAACCTGGCGTCAGTTTCACACGTTTTGATTTGTAGAACTTGAAAATGACTCGTCTCAATTTGTTTGCACTTGTTGCTGTGTATCAGCATCACAAAGCCCACCCCCCTCCCCCCACCACAACACAGCAGTGTCTTCAGTCTCACCTCTGCTGATTGTTAACAGGCTTCTGTTAGATCCTGTCTGGGCCGGTGGTGGTGGTGGTGGTCCTCTGTGCAGTGGGGTCTCTGTAGTCTCCTGAATAAGCAGCCATGTTGTTCTTGTTAAAAAAAATGATCTTGTTGCCTTTTTTATTTTTTTCTTATTTTTTTATTTTTTATTTTTTTATTTATTTATTTATTTTTTTTTTTTTTGCTACATATCTGTGGCCAACATTCTGGCTGGAGAGTTATCATTTTGTTACTCATCATGCCCGGCCCAGAGGGGCGAGCAGATCAATGATCAAACTGTGGAAGAGGAGGAGGAGGAGGAGGAGGAGGGCCCGGGTGTGAAAGTGGGAAGGAACCATATGATTGGGATCAAAGCAGCAGGAGAGCTTCAAAGTGAGGGAGCGACAGTAAAAACATTACAGAACTTTTGTCGAAGGTCTCTTTGTGGCTCTCGTGCATACACTGACCTCATTAACCCACGGGACAGGACGAGGGTGGACTTCATATGGATTCAAACTAAATGTCTACCTAAAATAAACTCTTTAATGTTGTGCAAAAGGATTGCGTTTATATTTTAGCAGAATGCTTGAAGGCCTCTTTCTGTTAACGAGTTCAATCAGATGAGAGGACTGGTTTCAGTTAACCAAAGCTGATATACATACATTTCTTAACTGATGTTATTTTTTGTATTTCTGGTCTCTGATGTTATTTCTCTTCGTCATCCAACCCCTAACGGACAGTTTATCCTAGAGGTGGACGCATCAGATACAGGTGTTGGAGCAGTTCTCTCTCAACGGGCAAGTAATGAAAAGATACATCCTTGTGCTTATTTTTCCCGTCGCTTATCACCCTCAGAAAGAAATTACGACGTGGGTAACAGAGAACTGTTGGCT